AGGCTACACACAGCATCAATTTGAGGTTACTGCAGGGTTCAACAGGAATGCTTTTACATTGTCTGGCCTCTGCTTGCGACCCATCCATCTTTCTCAGAGAATGAGGGAATAAAACATGATTCAAAGTTTGAATTTTTATGTCACTTGTTCTGGCATCTGTATGACCAACACGCAAAGGACTGGGATAATAGGCTCTCTGACTAGAGGACACCCATATGCTACTGTCATGTTCTCTTCTAATTAGGATTAATCGCTGCCGTGATATTGCCTTACTCTGTTCTTTAAACAAGCGGTCCTACGTTCGCACGTAAATTTCAGAATTTTCTCTTTACTGTGCAAGAAAGACAAAAGCAAGAGTGGAGACTGAAGAGCAGGGAAGATATCTAGACATCCTTCTTTTAGGCCCAGCCAACATTTTGTGGTTTTTCAAACCTGCTAGTGTTTGATGTCTCTTCAAGGATTTCTGACACCAATAGAAAAGGTTTACTGGACTAAATTTTTTTCTACATTTCTTCTGAAATCTGAAGCTTTTGGACTTTGATATGGACTGATATGTGGCGTGTTCAGTGTTTGTAGAAACCTTTGTTCATACAGCAACTTTCTGGCTCCTCAATAATTAATGAGATGGCAGCACTGAGCTGCATTCACTGAAGGACAAATTGGAAGGTACAGGTTGAACAAGTGAATACAAACAGAGAAAAACAGAAGCGGTGAAGAAAAAAAACTAAAGGCTTTAATTGCTGATTACTTCTCCATTAATCTCGATTGTGAGGACCCTCAGATTCCATTAGCTTTAACCTTGAATCTAAAACAAAACACTAAGAACATTAAGCTCGTGTGGGTGAGATATGTTCTCACAACAATTTGCAACAAGGTCTTTGTGTCCTTAGGTCTGCCTCATGCAATTGAAGCTGGAGTATTTTACTGCATGATATTAATAAAAGTGAACTCTCAAGGCTTTGTGTGTTTGAAGTCTGAAGCCAGTGTCATTTCTTTCTGTGTGAAAGTGAAACCTTTACTTAAATAGCTGAATATGCCTTAATTAACGTTGGGGGCACTTGAACGTACACTTTAAAACTGCATTTTAGGTCGTTTTATTTAGTCATCCAAAAAACATTTGGCAACATTATGTGTATTAATTGTGTTTCAATTCACCTAATGAGTTTAATCAGTGTGCATCTGTGTGAGTCTCGGCTGAACCCTGGGAAAAGATCTCTTTAGCAGTTAAATGCCCTACTCTGTTCACAAACCTCTGGCTTATTTTGTGCATATACTGTATACACTTCATTAGCTTCACCTTGCTAGTACCAGGTTGAACCTGCCGGTGTCCCTGCAGGTTTTAGATGTGTCCTGGAACCAACACAGCTGATTTAAATGGCTATATTAGCTCCTCAACATGTCCTGAAGTTCTCCAGAGGCCTGGTAACGAACTAATCGTGTGATTCAGGTGTGTTGACCCAAGGTGAGATCTGAAACCTGCAGGGACACCGGCCCTCGTGGACTGAGATTGCCCACCCTTGTACTGGATCATGGAGGCTTTCCCCATCTTTTCTGTTGTTATAGCAGTTGCTGCAGATTTGTCAGTTGCACATGATGTAAATCGAATGCTCCACCACATCCTAAAAGTGCTCTACTGGACTGAGATCTGGTGACTGTGAAGGCCACTTGAGTACAATGACATCAATGTCATCTTCAAAAAACCAAACCAGAAGATTGATAACCTACAGTCATAGGTATGGACATGGTGAGCAGCAATACTCAGGTACGCTGTGACCATCCTCAGGGGTCCAAAGTATGCCACGAAAATATCCCTTGCACTGTAAGACCACCAGCAGCCTGAACCATACAAGGCGGGATGTCTTTCATGCCATTTACCCTAAAATATGACCCTAACATCTAAATGTCACAACAGAAATGGAGGATTATCAGAACATTGTTTTTTTCCCCAATGTTCCAATCTCTCTTCTCCAATTTTGTTGAATGAACATATGAATTGTAGGAATGGCACCTTTTTGCGTTGTATCCCTACTGCATCAAGGTGTGACATGTTCTTTTTCTGCATAATTTGGTTCTGTTGAGTAGTTAGTTGTGTGACAGTTACCTTCGATTCAGTGCAAAGCAGTCTGCCACTCTCCTCTGACCTCTGGCATCAATGAAGCACCCAGAGAGCTGCCACTCACTGGATATTTTCTCTTTTTTGTAAACCCTAGAGATCGTTACGTGCCAGTCCACCTGGCATCAAGAACAGTGCCACATTCAAAGTCACTTAAATCTCCTTTCTTCTCCATTCTGATGCTCAGTTTGAACTTCAGGAGGTCGTCTTGAAGGCTAAATGCTTCCATGTGACTGGCTGATCAGATATTTGCATTAACAAGCATTTGAACCTGTGTACCTAATGAAGTGTCATTGGTTTAATAGACTTTATATTGTTGAAACAAAGCCAAGTTGAAAGCAGCAAGTGTGTGACGCTCATAGCTTCAAATCATTGTAGAATTGAGGTGGATATGAACACTAATAATTATTCAGTCCATCGCTAACACAAAGTTATTCGTACCGCAGCTTAAACAATGGGACATTGAGCTGACTGGAGGATTAAACCCTGTCAGTTCACTCTGTGGACGGTGTAAAGAGTGAAGACACACACTGCTTAATAACAGTTTAGATGAGTACAACTGCCACTGCCTGAGGCTGTGCACAGTCTGATGTTTGCTTGTTTGAATGGAAATTGATGTGAGACCAGAGATGATCATCATGCAGTGGGATTCAAACAGATGACAAAAACAAATTCGATGGGCCCTGATTAATTGTTATAAATACCCACGCAGGCAACGACAGTCTAAGTTAGTTAATCTTGAAGCACGGAGGGACAGAGAGTCGGCAGTAAAATTATGCACACCGGTGGTTTCACTTTGGAGGGAATGTTTTCTTTACATTTCCATTTTTATTGCTGTCCATTCCGGGTCATTTCATGTGCAAAGCAACGTCAAGCCTAAACTAATTTCTTGGCTGTTTCACATTCGAAACATTTCCATTAGCAGCCAAACTCATCCACGTAATGAAATATTGTACAAATAAAAATCTATTTCCCAAGTATTTTATTTAATTTCCTCTTCTGAATTTCCTGCAATGTTGCTGAAATATAAACCGTTCACTACACTCCAAGTCGTTCAAGATATTTTTGTTAATTTCTCAAATTGTTTCTACCTCTAAGAATTAGGGGAATGGAAAATGCTGAAAGAAACATCTAAAACATCTTCACTCTCCACAGTAATAAAAACAAAAGCAGGATGGGATCCCAAAAGTCATTACGAAACTTATTAAGATGCAACATTTATTCTGTCCTCTTTACTTGCAAGATATATCACTTGCAGAAAGCCAAAGGCCGAAATGTAAATTGATGAGTAACTATAAATATTCAAGTAGTAAAACCGCCTATTTCTTTAAATTAGCAATGGGCGGCATGTCCTCGGTGAGTCACTTACTCTAAAAGGCATAGGGATAAGTCTTTTTACTCTCAGTTCAAACGCTGAAAGACTGTGTCCTTCCCTCTGGCCGAGGTGAAGTGAGAAAATGGGTACAGAGGGAGAGGAAGGGATGGGACGGATCACTCAGGGAAGGTCCGTCATCCTGGTGTCAGATTCCACATTAAATGTCCCGGAGGTTATTCACGTTTGATCAGTGTATCCATTATGCGCTCCTGTCGCCGGCGCTGTGTCACGGATGTCCGAAGGCAGTATAAGTTGTGGATTTTCAGGATGAGGAAATACACACACACACACACACACACACACACACACACACACACACACACACACACACACACACACACACACACACACACACTTGAGCACAAGCAGATATATGTTTTTACTACGTGCATAACAATGCATGTGAACAAATCATTGTCTAACACACATATACACACTCTCAAGTGATAGCTGTTAAACCTGAACCTACATAATCTCTGTGTTTTCATAATTTTTAAATGTGTTAACTCACAATACAACTGACCTGTTCACAGTGCTGGTGCTGAGAAATATGTAGAGCCAGATTGCATAAACATTTAGAGAGAATAGCTTATTAGCATGCTCTGCAAGGAGCCTCAGTTGTATATCACAACACTGTCTCAGTGAAGACTGCAGAACTGCAAGAACTGAACCTGAATTTAATGTTAAAATTGACTTTAAGACTTATTACATAAGACTTTTCTATAGAGTCGTTTCAACTCCAACAGAAGGACAGCTGCCATCGTCCTGACTCTCCATACCCACAAAGGACAGTGCTAATATGGTTCAACTGACAGACTGTATATAAAAGATGGGCATAGCTATTGCATCTAAAAGTTAAAAACAATTCACAAGTTCCTTTTCTCTCTTAATGGCCTCTTAATTGCTCTGGCTGCAAACATAAGTAAAAAAAAAGAAGCAGGATAGGATTTAGGGAATGGCAACCCTTCATTCTGAGCTTCCCTCATTCATCAATCACAAGGCAGTAAAACTCTCAAATAATAAATAAATAAATAAATAAATAAGACTTTAAGCTTCTTATATACAGCCTTTTGGTTCACTACTGTTAACAATTACCATGAAAAACTTCCACTTTCCCAAGATTTACACTTACTGATGAAAACAATCTACAGTAAAAACCTGGTTAAATGCAGGCTTTAAATACATACATGTGCCTGGCATTAAAAGTAGCACACCTCTCCTTTTTCACACGCTTAGACTCTTGCATGAATAGCTACATTATTCAATCAGACACCAACTCTCTCGCTCCCCTGTCTAACTTTGACAGGAGCTTGTGTTTTGCATACACACAAAACACAGAAAATAATCGCTTGACACACACGCCGACCGCTGGCCAGCTGTCTTTATTTTACACAGCACACTCTACACACATGCACACCGAAATTTCTCCCCAAAACACACTGGAGGAGACCCTTACCCCTCATCATGGCCCCTGTCACAAACGCTACTTGTCGTCAGGCGGTGTGTGACTCCCCTGAGTCGGTTGCCGAGCAACCGTGGCTACATTAATATGTGCGATGGGAAAGGAGCAGGGGATACCTCTTGCCTGTGGAGCGAAAGCAGCCACGACAGCGTCAGTGTGAGGCGACTGGTTCCCTCTCAGCACCCCCTACCCCCTCCCTCTGTCTCTTTCTTATAGCCGTCCAACGTTCACGCTCTGCTCAGTTAGTTGGGGAAACACACACAGCTGCCGTAGCAGGAGAAAAGGTATATTAGGTTGCACATCATGTAGAGGTAACAGGGGCTTCCACCACTTTAGCGGGGGTGCTTTTTAAAAAAATCCTTCTTTTAAATTTTTGTATGAATCATGTAAAAGCCAAGGTGTCTGCTAAACATATCTTATGCCGCTGAGCAGTAAAAGTTTTCTTGAGAAGATGAGCTTTTAATAAGGGTTGACAGGTTGTCTTGGAAGGAGAGACAAGCCCGAAAATCTCTCTTTTTTTGTAAGCTTTGCGGATTAAAGACAAAGGAGGATGGAAATATTCGCATGAAACAGCTTTGTTACCCCCCACCCCCATCCTGCCCATCAACTGACTCCATTCTTCAACTTGACATCATCCCTTCACACAGACAAGAAGAAGAAGAAGAACAAGAGGAGAAGAGAGAAGCAGAGGTGGGGAGGCAAACAGACGGGAAAGAGGAGGAAGAGCGGAGAGGAGGTGGGCAGCACACTTTCAGCTCTCACAAGGCTGAGGAGGAGAAAGTGACAGCAGCTAGAACTTGGCCACACTAGTGAGATGAAATTTGGAGAGGAGACGCTGCAGCGCTCGAGGAGACGACATCTAAAGAGAGCCCTAAAATTGGACCGCCTGGAAGGCAAGCCAGCAGTCTCTGGATCCCGTCCACCGCTTCCACCCCCAACAGCAGAAGGATGAGAGGGGTCGACTTTCACCTTAGTGGCCAGGGATGTCTGTGCACTACGGGAAGGCATCCCCTTCCAGCATGTCCAATGCTATGTTATTCCTGATGCTTTGCAAGGTAAGTCTGCTGCAGTTCCACTCTCATTCTAAACCATTAAACTCAAAAGGATTTACATCTGGAAGCTGTCTACAAACAATTTCACAGCAGTTACTCCACAACAGTGCATGGCTAGGAATTTAGTATGCAGCATGATATATTCTTTATAAATGTTAGATATTTACAGGCTCAGAGTTCTTTGCATGAAATATTGACTAAGGGTACCAGAGACCCCTTGAATCTTGAATAACAATTGAACTATTGTCTTTTTGTCTCTGTGCCTTTGCTATGTAAAATCACCTTAATAGTTAATAGCTTCGGAGTTGCACCTCATCTATAATGTTATCAAGTTTAAATATTTAATAAATGGGTTAAAGAGGTAAAAAAAATCTTTACATTTTTAAAAATAATTACAAAATAAAGCATTCCAGCTTTTCAAAGCATGGTATGGAGAGGCCAATTACATAACAAGCCATGAAAACGCAGAAACTTTCCTGTTTCTCACTTTGGTATGTGACTTCCTGAGTGCGTGAAATTTAAAAAAAAGGAAAAAAAAGCTAATTTAAATGTTGTCAGTTCAAAAATAGGCCTGCCAATTTCTTCTCACTCACAAAACAATGAGTACAGGTTACGGAAAATGGGTCACGCTCACTTGAGAAACTATTTCATCTGATTTTCTTTCTCTGTCACTCTTCCTCTTTCTTGATTGGTCTACATTCATTCGCTGTTGAACAGTTTTTGTTCTCTACGTGACGCTCACTAGTTTTTGTGTTTTTTGTCAGCGTGTGATGGGGTGTCAAACCCATGTATGCGCGCGTGTGTGCGTGCGTGTGTATACATACACACTCGGGAGGGGTTGGGAGCCGTTTGATTTAATTCCATTTTAAAACAATGCCAAAAGCGACTCTGCCTGTCAGACTCGGTTAGCATCTGGAGTTGTTTGACATGCTCGGGATTATTCAAGTGGCAAAAGGTTTTACTCTTCACTGATCTAATCTGAGGATGTTAGCTTCCGTTAGGTGTAGCAGGAGCGTCCAGATTTGTTGTCCCAGGTATGGATTCTTGCTATTTTCCCTCTTTCTGTTCCTGTCTGTGTGTCTGTCTGTTCTTTCTATACGACTGTGTATCTGGCTGTGCACGACTGAAGAGCAAGGATTGAGTTTGCTATGAAAAAAGAAAAAAAAAACAAACTCCCAAAACGATGCTTCAAATTTTGAAGGAAAATTTGTTGATCCAGAGATGCTGCTTTTATAACGTTGGACCTTAAGTGGCCCTGCCATTGACAGACCTGCTCGGATTAATTACAGAGATAAAAGTGAAGATGTTAACATTTTATAATTACATAAAACAAGCTTGAGTATAAGAATAGAAATCAACTCTGAAATATTGAATGCCCTGCGCCTTAGTGCACAGTCAAAAATAATCAAGAGAATTAGAAACTGATCCAGATGATAATCTCTCATTTTGAAATATTAATCTCAGCACGTGTATACTGTTAATGACTTCTGTTTCATGCTTGTTCTGAATGATAGAGCTCTAAAACACACTGCCCGGCCTTAGTGTTAAACAGACAGAGGAAGTCATTATGAGCAGTTAATGATTATAGCACATCGCACGATGCCAGCACCGGCTGCCTCTTGAAACAGAATGCTCTCGGTTGTTGGCTGTACAGACTGGAGCTGTTGAATGAGGATTCACTGGAAGGCATCCAGAGGGTTTTGCTGCGCTATGCACAGCTGTACCTTTCGGTGAAGCTCTTTACTTAATACACAGGTTTTGGCAGAGCCTGGAACCTCGTACTCACCACCACTTCCACGACCACCTCATCTGCCTCCCCTTTCTTCTCCCTCATCATCCTCAGGCACATTTCTCTCCTGTTTTTTTTTTTTTTTTTGCTGAGAATGTTTATATCAGTAGCGAGCAGGCTTCTTTATGCATGAGGGCACATCCAGCGCGCCACACAAAGATCTCCTTTCAGGTTGAGGGAAGCCCCGTTTATAGTGCTCCCCGGGAGAGGCAATCAAATCCCATTGTAACAGGTCAGGGGAGGAGGATGAATTTAACATAGAAACCGAGCATGACGTATTTTTATGTACGTCAAGAGCAGACTGTACAGTGTGTGGATGATTGCAGCAATTCAGAGTATCCATGTGGGATGTTCTGCTTTAGAAAAGACAATCATTTTTATGGTCTTATAAAAAGTCCTGCAGCAAACGTTATGTGACATTTACTTTATGAAAGGCATTTTAACGGCCCCCCCCCCCCCCCCCCCCCCCCCCCCCCCCCCCCCCCCCCCCCCCCCCCCCCCCCCCCCCCCCCCCCCCTTCCTCCAATAAACCCCAAATAAACCACATCATTATGCTTCTTCTTTGGTCCATAAAATCCAACTTTTTTACAGTAGCAAGTACACTGAATTGAACTTCTTAAAATGAAAAAATCTGACTTTATCTTACTGTAATCAACCCAGTTTAATCTCCCTCTCTTTGTAGTACATCAGTCTTACAGACTTTGACATAGTGTAAGTGATTCCTGGCAGGTGATGATTTCTGCCAAGGTCTTTTTTTTCCTCAGCCAAACCGTCACAGAATGCAAGTCAGAGAAAAAAGGACAGTGTTTACAACACTGATATAAAACCTTCTTTGTCCAAAGTTCCTTTAAGAGGACACATAAATTCTTTTTAGAGGAAAACAAACTGTAATTTAGCCATAATAGTTGTGGATTATAAGTGATTAACTTTAGTAAAACTTCTGTGTGAACTTGGATTAATCTGAAGAAAAAAAAGACAATCTGGATTGCAAGTATACAGAAAGTAAAACCGATTCAACCCAACAAATAAACACCAACCATTGCGATCACCAAATGACCTCTTATTTGACGAAGTTGATGGCAGTCAAAAGTATAAATATCTGCTAACATGGATGCTGTGAATTTGTTTTTTCTTGAGCACAAAAAGCAATAAACATGCAAACGTAAATGCAATGTAAATCTAATCTGATGTTTTGCTTTGGCAGTGTGCTTTGATCCAAATAGCAAGTGCTACCACACACGAATAATAAAGGTTTATTCAGGCCTGTATTTAATATTGCAAGTCTGTTCCTTTTCAAAAAAGACCATAAGCCAACGAGGTACACTGTGTACCTTGGTTGAACTTTAGGTAACCTCTACCTTCTGGAAGTCAGAAACATTGAGTTTATTGAGCATCAAAGCTTTTTTACTTAGAGGAACAGCTTCCTGTTAGAAGGTTTATTTTTAGTTAGGTTACATGCTTTTCTGTTGTTATTTGACATATAAAACCCACTGACCCGCAAAAGGAGCTTTTTCTCCTGAGAGGTGTTTGGATGCCAAGTTGCACAAGCTGCTGCGCCTACGGGCTAAAAACATACTGCTAGTATCTAATACTGCACCCTAGGCTACACAAATCGATACACACACACACACTAAAAACTCACACTTGAGAGCGCTAGCACACTCAGAACTTGTTTGAGAGCAGTCCCAGTGTTGAAGAAGTACCACTGCTGAATAGAGGCTAGTGCAGAAATATCTGCTGTCTTTTGTTTTCACTCACTAGGCTTCAAAGACGAGCCAAACAAAGGGTTTAACCAGATGTTGGCAATGAACAAAGCAGCTAGTATTTTATTTATGGTAAAATTCCCCCGTCCTCTATTGAATTCATGTTTTATAGTACATTAATAATATCTGTAAAATGGATAAAGCATCGTGTACTAAATGTACCGAAACTGCGTTATTTTTGTACACAGATTTGAAAAACATCTCACCATATTGGAATATAACCTGCAATATATATATATAATATATTATATATATATTATAATATATATCGTCACCCTAATAATATATATATATATATATGTATATATATATTATTATATATATTATATATGTATAGTACTTAGCAAATTCATTAAAATTCCCCCAATGTAAGGCTTATCACAGCTGTCCAAATTTAACAGCATTGGAAATTACCAAAGTCATTTTTAATGTTTGTGTAATGGTTAATCCACCAATATGCAGAAGGTCTTTATAGTAATTATGAGTTTTATATAATTACTGTGGTTATCCATGACATTTAAAACGTATTGTTTTACAAAAAAGTTAAAAAAAATAGTAAAAATTATAATTACTTTTTTGATTACGATGCCAAATTAAAGTTCTATACTTACATCCCTGAATAGAAAACTTAGTTTAATTGGTTGAATGTTATGCTTGTCCAGTGTCCAAATTTGCGTGTACGAATGCAAAATCATTTTGTTATTTGCCGAGTTAATAACAACATGACTTTGAATTTCAAACAGTTTTCTTTTGACAGATTTCTAAACTATTTGTATTTACTTGTTTTTGTGATTTCCCGACAGCATTCAAAATCCAGATCATTCAAAAGAAAACATATTATAGATAAATCATTCTGCTTTTTGTTGTTTTTCTTTAAAGCTAAAATGTTCCAGCTACTTCCCTCCATTGTATTATTTATCACTAAAATCTGACGTTATTAGCTTTCCAGCCTTTTTTAATGTATTAAAGAGAAAGCATACAGGAGAATGGTGTTTGTTTACTTTCTGTTTTTCAATGATTGTAAATTATTGGTGCCTAAGCAAACACCTCACCAGCAGAAGACTAGATTTCCTGTTTTATTGCCATTATCACTGTCCACCACACACTGTGCAAGGACCCTATTCAAGGAAAATGAATAACCAATTGCATTAACTAAAACATGGATTGTGTTTGTCTTTTCTCCTTATCTGCCTGCTCCAGACTGGTCTGAGAAGAAAACTGCAGGCTTTTCCAGGGAAAATGGTAAACACTCTCTACAGTGATGAGGAAAAGGGAATCCAAGACAAGGAAAGTAAGGAGGAGACCATCTTGGCCATGCTGGGAATCATTGGGACCATTCTCAACTTGGTCGTCATCATTTTTGTCTACATCTACACCACCTTGTAGGTCTTGAACTCTTATTGTGCTTCATTAGTGGACACAGCAGAGCACATCTGAGCTGCTTCAGCAACACTATGTTGACTGAAAAGGAGAAAAAGATGGGTGGAGAAAGGAAGAGGCTGAACTGTGCTGTTGCCATATGGCACCAGTCCTGCATCACTTCAAACAGCTGAGACTATAAGAAACTGGCTTGTTCCTCTCCCTTTACAGGTAAAATTATCCAGAATTTCTGGTCATTTTGACTTGTATATAAATGCATGAAGCAAAGTTGAGAGACTGAAAAGATGAGAGCTTTCACTAACACGTGGACTTAAAACAGCAGGAAGAGTGGACATTTTTGAATAATACTTTACAAATGCTTTTATTAAATGAATTATGATTTATTGTTCTGTTTTACATCCATGAGATAACAGTTCAAATTGTAAGTAAAAATTAGCTTTTGGTTTGCTGTTTTTTTTTTAACACAACAAATTTCCATTTCTATGAGATTTTAACAGACAAAAGGAAGAAAATGTTATTCTGATTGATTTAATGTTCACTTTAAGACTGTATTTGTCATCAGTGTTTGCAAAGTATTGACCGGACGACATTTACGGAGACTATTATTCCTGAAATTTAAATACATGCAGAGTTTTAGGTTGTATGCTTGTACATTTACAGGTCAAAACTGAGTCTATAAATGGTATAATATCAGTTTAATGTGCTGAAATGAATCCATAATGGTTACACTTGACATTGTGCCGAACATTAAACCACGGAAGAATACTTAAATTGTTACTTAAATTAGTTAAAAGCAACGTCGTTATCCTGTAAGTGTTTAATTTATCACTTCCACCTTTAAAGGCCATCCATATAGAAAAAGAAGAACCGAGAAGGATATTTTACTCACTCAGATGCAGCTTTGAAACTTCATAAAGCCTTTCATAAATTTGTCAACATGTACAAAATGTTTCATAATCTTTATGTTACTTATTACTATAAAAAGCTCACTCTTCAAAGTAGAAAAGGGAAAGCGACAGCTTGGGCTCTCAGTTTGTGCATCACTAAATCAGAACTTGTCCATGATTACTGTTTGCCTTAAAACATGAGGAAATGTCTATTTCCGCAGTGTTTATCAGGTTAAAAAGACTTTGTGAAACCCTTGTTGTACATACATATAATGTTCGTATTTTATGGGTTTATTGGCGGTAATTTTTATAAAAGCATCCTACTCTTGTCTTAACCAACATGATTATTACAAGATATTTCCAGACCTGGGCCAAACAGCTTACCTTGAGTCATTTGTGTCCATTTTCAGAGGACGACACTGGACAGTACTGTGAATCATAGGAAATTTACATGACGGCAAGAACCTTTAGATTAGCTTTTGGTATGATTCTTTTTCTTACACTGACTAAACTAACACTGTGTCTATTTTAAGGCCTCGTTCCATCTGAGAGCAACCGTGTCAGCTAGAAATTACATTTACATACAACTAAATTTCAACAAGAAGGGAGTGTGTTGCTGACTGACTTAAGTTTTCTTTTTAAATATTTAGGAAATGCTCTTTATTTATTGAACAAGTGGTTTAGTTTAGGTTTACACAAAGTTGAGGTTAGCTGCACATCCAATTGAAAAAGTTAGTTCAAGCTGCTTTAGCATGCATGCATTTGCTGTGCACCTCCAAGCATCTTGGCAACCCACCTTCACCTCCAGCATTGCCTATGACTATTTATATACGCAATCTCAAAGATGAGGTGGTCCCAGACAAAAAGAATCTTCTTTAAGCATGACACAACAATGTTGATAATGAACTTAAGTGTAACACGTGTAGTGACAGCATATTTAATTTTTCCACCAAAATATTTGGCTTTGGAAAAGTATATATAAATGCACCAGCTACAAAATTGTTAGACTGCTGTTTTGGCACTCTGTGTCAACACTTTTGATGTTTCATGTTTAAAATCTTCTGATTCTTGCCACTGAACGAAAACAGTGACACAGCCCGCAGTCAGCCAGTAAGGCTGAATAAGAATGTAAACCCCAGGCTGTGGTGTCGCGGTCCAATTTGGGTCCTGTTGTCTATGTCGACTTCCTTATGCTGACTGAACATTCCTGCAGTGCTTCACTCATTAAAAAAAAATGATATTAACATATAACCATAATGTTCGTGAGACAGGCTTATTGTCAGACACACTGGACAAAAACCGATTAATTCTACTTGACCCAGGACTGGAATTAAGAAACATTTTGCACTTAAACATGAGAAGAAAGTGTGTCAAGTTTTTTTTCTTCTTTTTTCCACATTTGTGAGTCTGACTGATCTGGTCCAGCTTGTACAAATCAAATCAGGTCAGGTTATGTGACAGTTTGAGGTAAAAGTGACTTTCTGTAACATCCTAATTTAAGAAGCACTGAAATTCAAGAATTTTTCTTTATATTTGCGTTGAAGGAGGGAGATAAATATTTGAGAAAAACATTTTGTTTTAGAGGCAATGGCAAGTACTTTTTTCCTGTGCTTCCAATCTTAATGCTAAAATGACTGGATGCTGGCTGTAGCTGTCAGACATGTAAGTGATATTGATCTTCTTATGAAACTTCCAGCAAGAAAACTAGTAAGTTCCCAAAGTGTTGCACTATTCTTCTAATAAAACTAGATATAAGAGATGAGAAAAGGCCTCCAAATAACGATGTACAGTTTGTAGAGAATGTAAGGGTAGACAGGAGGCTATATTATGTGAAAAAATGTCATGTTTGTGCTCTTCAGTCAACAACCTCTTGATTTCAGAAAGTGCCTGAGATGAAATGTCTCAACCTCACCAGTGGAGAGGTGAAAGAAAGAAAAATAGATCGCCTGTCATACAGCCAGATGAGTGGAAGAGGTTTGCAGAAAAACATGTATCCTGATGGGACTGGATTTCCACATAGCATAGTTAGCGATGCCAGTCATTGTTTGTCTGGGCTGAGGGGCTCCTTTGTTTCACAGAAAGGTTTTAAAATGAAAGCTTAGTAAGCACACGGAAGAGTCTTATGAATGTATTTATATTTGATGTTAAAGTTGATTATTCCTCTTATTCTTATTGTTTATTTATCTTTCCTAAAGCTATGTAACCCGATGTATCCTTATGATTTATTTGTGTGTATGCAAAATCTATTTAAAGTCACTGTAAAGTCTCTTGTGGGTGACAAAGGGTTAACAGTTTTTCAGCCTGCAGTTTTGTTAACAAATATTAAATAAATACATCTAAAAGTGGTTGCATCAGGTCGTATAATCTTAATGCAGAGGGATAAGGATCCGTGGTTAAATATTCAGGTATAAGCAGCTTCATTCATTAAACATGATATCCATCAATTCTGAAAGATCCTGTCAACATATTAAATAATATATAGGTACGATACTGTGCAAAATTCTCAAGCCACCCCCGATTTCTTTAAATTTTGCTAGGAAATAGGAACAGGAACTTGTGCGGGAAATTACTGAAATATGAGTAAATGTACACAGAAACAGAGGCTATAGAGATAAAAAATATACACCATTCTAATAACCTCTAAAAAGGCTTCTTGAAGGACATTCAAAGCTTTTTTTTTTGGACTTTGGCTGCCTTTTGTTTTGTTCTCTGTCAAGATGTTCCCACACTCTTCCAATAATGTTGAGGTCCAGGCTCTGGGGAGGCCAATCCATGACTGACAGTGTTCAACTGTGTGCTTATCTGGTATGCTTTTACTGCATTGGCAGTGTGTTTGCTGAAAACATCAGATCAGCTGCTTTCAAAATAATATTGCATGGTGGCTGAAAATCGGACAATTTACTTTTCTGTGTTCATAATTCCATCAGTTTTAACAAGCTCTCCAACAGCACTCACTGAAACGTCGCACAAATCATAACAGCGTTTTGTAGATGGCTGTAGACACTGTTGTGCCTGTCTCCTGACCTCCACCGTACATATTAATGACAGTTTGAACCAAATCAACATCTGGACTCATCACTCCATAAGACCTGATGTCAGTTCTTGTGTAATCTGGCGTACATCAGTCTTTTCTCTGTGTTTCCCTTCCTTAAGAATGGCTTTCTGAACACCAACCTTCCACTGAGACCATTTCTAATGAGGTTTCAGTAAAGAGTAGACGGATCAACTGAAGGGCAGGTTGCATTTCTGCTTGAGTGATTCATAGGACAGGGCTAAGTGTCTAGCATTGGTAGCCAATGTAAAATAAAACTAACCTTCAGAAAGCCTGAAGAACTCTTTCTTAAGACCTTTCTTTTAAAAAAATACTCCTTTTCTGTCTCACAGAGAGAGAAACCCCTCACTTACCAACACTGAAAAATATATTTTACCATCTATAATCTTTTCATTTGACAGCTTTGTGAGATTTCAACAGAACCTCGAAGAAGGAGATGGATGAGAAAACTAAATCTTTATGAGTCTACAGCGTTACATCCTACGAGACGTACATCCGTCCGGCTGCAAATCAATCTGAAAAATGGAGAAAAATGGAGAGAGCACAGAACTAGCAGGACAAAGACATAGAAACCATATTCCTCTAAACAAATTTATTTTTATTTCATCTCCTTTTAGTTTGTATCTTTTGGGTCACATGCAGAGAGTCGTGTCAAAATAATTTTCCACTCCATTAAGAGTGCTCTATGACAAGTAACACAGTGGAATAATCCTGTTGCAGGGAAAAATGGGACTAAAATCAGCTTGACTCTGCTTTTTCTTTAAATATAATGGATTAGGCAATGAACCATGCGAGAACTGTGCTGTTTGAGGAACCCCAGCTGCTTAAATTTACACATGCCGAGAAGCCTGCTCTAAGCTATTGTTTCACCTGGATTCAGGAACAACCACAGTCCTCTGTATCTGAACGATGATTGGCGAACAATGTGCAGGATTGTGGCGCATCCCAGATGGATGATTCAACCGAGCAGATTGTCCCATCTCTATCTAGCTGAGCTGACACTGTTTTGATGGTTTTGCAGAAGCTTCGCGGACGATTACGCCAACCAGCACACGAGCCACACCGAATCAACACAACATACTCATGCCTGACGATGTCAGGCTGCTTCTGTTGTTACTCAAAAGGGAATTCAACCTGTGGCAGCAGCACACATTAATATTTAATGCCACTTTACAGAGCATGGTTTCCAGAATATCTCAGTAACTTTCTTCCACAAATCCTATCAACAAATCACATATATTTTTTTAATACAAGTTCATAATTTTGCACAACTGGAAAAAGGGAAAAAATGATACTCTGAATAAATAATAATGGTTATTTTCTTCTTAAATACAACCTACAGATCCACATCCACCTATAAATGGATTTAGTGATTGATTAAAAAAAATCCTGATGTTAATTCTTACATGTCGCCTGATATGATTTTGGATAGAAAACATAAAAACAGAGCTGATCCTGGTTCACTTTTGTGACAGTCGCCTCTCAGGCATGTCAGCTAAGAGACAGGTACCAAATAGGAATCTGTAACCGGGAGCAGAAACATTACCTCGCCTGTGATGGTTAATGCTTAATACCACTGTCACTGTTATTCCCCTTTCCATGACACATGTAGTGCCAACAGCTGGATGCACACAATTGCAAATTCTTTGGGGTTGTCAAAAACGATTCTGGAAAATGTATGAAATCACTAACTGAATGTGAAACTGTCTGAGAGAGAGAAGAATAAGCATGACGGTTAAAAAAAATAGCACCTAAATGAAATATTTCTAAAAATGTATTGAAGACTGTGGAAATAAAAGTGGGACATCTGGGGGGGAACTTCAGGTGGAAATGATATATCTTGACACGGTATACTTATTATCTGCATCAGAGTCAAATCCAAACTGAGAAGAGACAAGAAAAAAAGGACCCGAGTCACACTGATTTCAAGTACAAAGGTGACCTCCAAATCGTTGATTAAAATAAGGAAAGGAAGCAGTGGCTTTTCGGCCTGTCCAGGTTGAAGTTCGCTCCGGGTTTTTGATGTTGTGATCCGGATCCGCCCTTCGCCTCAGTCCTCCCCTCAATTAGACTTCTGAGAGGATTTCCCCAGCAGATGTGCCCTATATAGATTTCTTGTCACAAAGAGTGCACATATCCAGCTGCGTCTCTTCACATTTATTCATGCAGAGAAATAAATCCTGTGATCAAAATCAGGAAACAGGCTTGAAAGCTGTGACAAATCCTGATATAAATGTAAAACTCGAGAGTGGAAAGTGTCAAAGTGTCAGGTTCAGCTTGACTGTCAGAGATTACAAATCTTTTTTCTTCTTCTTTTTTTTTTGCATGGAATTCATTTAAATTGTACTGATCAACCTTTGCCAGGTACAAAAGCAATAAAGATGATTTTCAAAGGACTTAAGCAAAGAGTTTCAAAGTTACAAATTCAAACAATAAAGAAAATTAATATTTGATAGGAAAGATATAGTATGTTATTAAAATTTGATTTAGGCTTCTTAAGTGCAGTTTGCTTTCTTAATGTTGTGCAAAACACAATGAATTGGTTTTAAAATACTAACTAGGATATATTTCTTCAAGTAGATTAGACTACAGTTACTACAATTATACAGATTCTTGCAAAGAATTAGATGCAAAGGTGCTAAAGCTGGTGGTGGACCCAACATGTAGTCTCTTTAGCAAATCTGTCTTAGGTTGAAGACTGAAAACATGTGGGAAACAGTCAAGCTACCTTAACAAAGTCTGCTGTTTTTATCTTGAGTTTATTCTGTAGAAAAAACTCAATATGCTGGAGGCTTTCTTGGCCAGGACAAGTTAGTTGGTAAGTGTCAAATGGACTGATACTGCTATAGCTCCTACTCTAACTCATACTAAAAGCACTTTCTCACAATCAGTGTTGGGACAGTAACTTTTAAAATGTATTCCACTACAGATTACAGAATACATGCACCAAAATGTAGTTTGTAACATATTTGGTTAAGTTACTCAATGTGAGTAATGTATTCTAAATATTTTGGATTACTTCATGTATTAAGATTTAAAAATCTAGTTGGTATTGCTTTCAGATTTGCACGATTATTTACAGCTAGCAGGTTGTTAATGCTATCCATCAAGTCAAACAGTCTGTAGTCTATGAACTAACCTCAGCTAACGCCAGCTAACAATGTTAGCTTGGTGGCGAGTAGCCTTCAGTAATAGTAATAAATCACACAGCAATAGTACATCGAAGATACTGAAGTGACACATAACCCAGGTAGCTACCACAAGGTAGTTGCAGTAGGCTAACTAGTTCTTAAAAAAAGAACTTGGTTCCAGATGTTTCTTTAGGTTGGAGTCACTTGACCCTGAGAGCAGCTTGGTTGCTGGCAAACAGAGTCTGTACTGAATGGTCAGATTTCACCCATCCTTTTCTTCTTTAAATGTGAAGTCGTGTTGGAATTTCCAAGTAAGAAATGCATTCCATGCCCATGCACTGCTGGCTTTGTTGTGCTAGCTTCGGGTCCATTGTGTAACTGACGTCACCAACATTAACGGAATACAGTTACTCATATCTTGTATTTTAAATACATAACAACGGTACATGTATTCCGTTACTCCCCAACACTGCTCACAACAAGCCTCATTCGCGTATTCACACGCACACATTAACATAAGTATTTTCTTTCTGTACCTAAGCACCTTGTCTAACGTTTGCATATACACTTTGGTGTTTATGCATTGAGAGTAACTCAGAGTACAGTATCCTACACAAAGATACTTTGACATGCAGAGAGATCGGACTGCCGACATTACGACAACCCACTCCACCTTCACTCATGATGAATGAGCAAGAAGGAAGACACTAAAGAAATAAGCCCCCTTAAAATGGCAAGTTCTCCTCTTTTTTCTCATTTCTTCAGTTTTTCCTGTGTGTTTTTTTAAATACAGATAAAAAGTAAAACATATATCAACTGGTGACGTTCACCGCGGCGCTCCCAGCAGTAGAACCAGGTCGGATCCATTATTAAAGTGCAATTGCACACATTTCAAAGAGGGTGCTGAGTATGTTGTAATTAGTATGGAGGCCTCAAATAATTAATATGGATGCAGCTTTGTGGCTTTCAACAGCAACTTTTGAGTCTGTTGGGTGCTCTGTTAGCTGAATTACAGTAACTACTGAATATCAACCAAAAACCCCCAAAAACAAATGCTGTGTTGCCAGGTGAAGTTATTCAAGTACCTCTCCTTCATAGTTAAGGTTAGCAGAGTAGCAGCATTTAGTTGTTCAGCACCATGTTTAATATTTGTAATTTGTTC